CATAGGTTGATCTCCCAGCTGTGCCTGGGTTTCTCTGAAAAACATGCACATGCGGAATCGCGTGACCTGAAAGGAGAACAAACGTCTCGAGCTACTTTATTCTCTAGATGCACCTAGTCACGCAACTCCTCTTCCGACCTGAGGTAGCTCAAGTTGAAAAGCCTCCCTTTGAACTTGCCCTGCGAGATCTCACGATGCAGGAAGCCCATGTCACCAGCGATGAAAGTCAGGATGTGGTTCATGATGTGGAAAGCGGCCTGGTTTGACTGTTGCTCGAAACCCGTCTGCCCCTTCTGCAGTGCCTCCCAGCAGGCAGCCCAAACCTCGTTGTTCTTGTAGTGCCCCAGAGGCCGGGCCTGATGGGCGTTCAACTGCCAAACCTTTGTGTTCAAGGCCGTGAGGCCCCGCTTCTCCACTTTGATCACTTCATTCACATGGCGGGCACAGCCCAAGCGACAGAAGCTCACCTTGTGCTCGCCTCCCACTTCCAGGATCTCCTTGTACTTCTCGTGGTTCAGCCGCTTGCGTTCGTTCTTCGGAACTCCCTTTGCCCGCTCCTTGTCCCCGCCTCCAGACTTCTTCAGCGAGTACATCTTGGGAGCCAGTCCGACCCATTCCTCGCCATAGTGCGGCGCAAGCTCGTCCGAGAAGTTGCCGAGAGCGCCAGCCTCCTGCAAGGCAAGCTCATGCGCGGCCTGGCTAAGAGGAGCGAGATGTTGCGTCAACTCAGCGCCCTTCGCATCTCCAGCCACATCGAAGAACGGGCGTCCTCCAAGCAGATTAGCCTCCGCCAGAGCGATCTTCGGATCCAACTCGCTGAAGATCTGCGTGACGCTGCTGTCCGTGTCGCCGCCCAGCCACCGCACTTTGCTCTGTTCGGGCTTCAAGCTCTCATTGCCCAGGACAGGATCCACGCTCTTCATGAGGTGCCCATCGAAGATCTGCCGGATCCGATAGTGAGCCCTCATCATCAGCAGCCTTGACTCTTCCAGCACCTTCCAACCGCCTTGAAGGAAGGACTTCAACACATTGGCCGCGCCACCTTTTTTCGTGTCCACAAACGCAAGGAAGGCCTGCTCTTCCATGATCTGGGGATGAATGTCGAGCATGTTAGGCCCTGCGGCCTTCTTCTGAAACTTCAGAGCGTCAGTGTAGACCTTTGTGGACCTGAAGGCCTCCTGATTCTGAACCATTTTGCCATACTGCACGTTGCCGGTGAGCTTCTGTACCTCAGCTTGAAGCGCTCGGCCAACTTTCTTGAGCTCGCGGCGAGTTCGCACGGTCTGATGGACAAAGTTCTGCATGAAGGGCGCGCACTTGAACATCACAGCACTGTGAAAATCAAAGACGCGCGCTCCGAGCTGTTCCATGATGAACTTGAGATAGCGCAGATCTACGGCCTCCTTCACGTGAGTGCCCAAGAAGGGAACCAGCTTTGGCGTCTCCGAAACAACCTGGCCGGGCTGGAGCAGGCTCAGAGTGTAGGGGCTCAGCTGAGTTTTCTTCACCGGCATCTTGCAGACGGGGGCCCAGTCGACTGTAGAGNNGTCGATGCCAAGGAACGTCAAAGGTCACCTCCACCATGTAGCAAACCTCCTCGCCATCCCTGTTGTAGTCCACCACGTCGAAGAGGGCGTTGAGACGGCGCAGTCTCTGCTTCTTATCGCTGGGAAGATCGATCCATAGGCCCCCGTCCACAGGCAAAGGCTTTGCCATGATGGAGGGGTACATGCTGTTGATGTCGTAAAACTGGATCCAAGACGTTTCCAAGGAAGCATCAAAGCCGGAGACGTTGCGATTGTTAGCCTTGGCAAAGGGCTGCGCGATGTGACCGAGACCTCCCCTGATGTTGCACTTGGCGAGCTCGTAGACCCTCCGATCCGTCATGATGCCGAGACTCCGCTCTGCACGAGGGCAACACAAGCGCAACATGGCATCGTAACTGGCAGAAGCGTGTGTGATATACTGACAGGGATCCAGCTTGAAGTGCTCATAAAACGTCTCCCTGTAATGTTCCAACACATCTGCCAGCGCCATGTCGGTGTGGAGGTAGGCATCGTGGAACTCTCCAAACGTGGCGAAGCCGAAGAATTCCACAATCTCCCTAATCTCGGCATACTTCTCATCGGAGCATCTCTCGCCCGTGAGGACGCTGTCGTAGGCTTCCTGGGGCAGCAGCGCCGGCCAGTTCCAGCACTCCGGACCAGTCAACACATCAAACGGCATCGGAATCTTCTTCAGGAGGAGCTCCCAGACCTTCGCTCTCCATTCCGGCACGCGCCTCTGCAGCGCCATAAAGAAGGGATGCGCTTGCTTCTGAGCCGCAGCAAAAAGCGGGTGCCTCTCAGCCAAGAGTGGAAAGGCCTCGCCAGGATCGCGCCCCCGACAGCTGGTCTTGCAGTCCTCGATCAGCTTTGACAGCCCGGCTGGAAATATGTTGGTCGAGTCCACAAACCTCAAAGGCCCGAAGCGAACCGTCAAGCACTGTTCGCCTCTCTTCACGAGCACATCCAGCCTGATTTTGGAGAGGTCGCAACGCCAGGGATCGAAGTCTTCCTCAGCCGCCTCCTCAATCTCCTCGCTCTCAGACGCCTCACCCTCAATGCCCTCGGCGTCATGGTCCACGGAGTTCTGCCGCCCACGCACGTGGGCTAGGTAGCGGAGGATGAAGTGGAAATCGTAAGAGGCTCCATTGTGAAAGTAGACTGGAATGAGGCTCGGCAGCCTGATGGCAAGGTTGCAAGAGTTGCATGCGGCGGCCAGGAACTTTCCAGTGCCGTGCTCGTGATGCAGCACCTTCCGGTTCTTGAGGTCGAAGGCTGCGCCACATATCTCGCACTCCAAGGCCTCGAAGAAGCGGTCCTCATCTTCCTGAGTCATCTGGCAAGGTTTGTTTGTCCACGAACGCCACTGCTTGTAATGGTGGGCGAGGTCCAACAAACTCCGCAAGAGGTACTCCACGATGACAAACTCTCCATCCTCACAGCCAGATCGCTTCAGATTGATGCGATGCTCAAGAGGCACCTCAAAGCCAGCACGCCCCACAGCCTGATACGCGAACGAAGCCACACGATGTTGCTTGGACAGGACCTTGTGACCGGAGATCTGCTCAGGCGCCCTGTCGTTGAAGACCTCAAAGTCCGCGTACACGACGCAGGGGTGCAAAGCTGCCGAGTTTGCGGCCTTGTAGTGAAGCCTGTCTGCCCCCTTTTCAGCATCAGGCATCTGCATAGGAGGCGCCGTCCGCTTTCCCGGCTGCTGAGAGCAGACTCGCTCGGCCAGGTGCTTCCTAAGCGTCTCAGGGCGACTGAAATTTGCCATGCAACGGTGGCATCGGCTCCATGA